ACTGCTTCTTCACCGTCTTAAACTGTTGAACAGTTTCAGGATCTAATTCTTTGTTTGTGTCAATAAAGTGTTTGGACAATAAAGTTTGTACAGGACCTGATTCTGCAGCACGTTCACCTTCAGCTGCCCTAATGTTACAGCTGCTTTTATGTTCAGCTGCTCAACTAACTTCTGCTAGCATGTTAGCTAGAGTTAGCGGTTAGCAGCTAGCACCTGTTCTCCCGCCTCCTTCTCCAGTTCACACACCTGGACTAAAACAAGGACTGACTGAGAGAGCGTCAGGTGAGGTGACAAGCTCAGGCCGGTGTCACAAAGCGGGAGCAGCTCCAATATTAGTTTCCGTTCATTTTTACACTTTTTTTACCGAGGTACAGCTCAAAGAAGCCCGGGGCCCTGCACCTGCTGCACGGCTCACCTGCTGCCGGAAGAAGGTGCGCGAGCTCGACCTGCTGGACTGGAGTCTGAATTGGATGAGGGGGGGGGGTTCTATTTTTAAGATGCTTATAATTTTTTAATTAAACATTTCTGTGTTATGATACTTTATTATTAAGATTTCAACCATTTTAAATCATTTAAAACCTCACCAAAGTTCAGAGGGATTTTATTTTGCTCTTTCTATTTCACTGGTTGGTGGTTAACTTTCAGATTCTCCACAAAATCTGTCTCCATAATTTCTTATATGATAGTTTGTCATCACATAGGGACAAACTTTTACTTTTGCTAACAGTACTTCGGTACTTTTACTTCTTACATAAAAAAATACTTTCAATTCAATCATCACATTAGCGGTGGTTATCGCCTTGTCAGTGGTTCTCAGGAAGAACAGACACTTCTCCAGTAAAGGCTGGAAAAAACAGAAAGAGACGATGTTCAGCTTCATGTTTATACAGAAACTGAGCCTCAAAACCAGCCGTCAGGACTTCTGGAACTTTGTGATGTCACAACAAAGCAGTCACCAAGCCCCGCCCACCTGGACCCACCATCCAAATCTTGCAGGATTTCGTTTCTCTGATTGTTAATCTGTTTATTCGGTGTTTCAGCTACTGATGAACTAAACTTTTAGCTGAATTTACAAATGCTTTAACACTGTAGCTTGTAGCTCCAGCTCCTCTCTGTGAGAGACAGGAAATGGAAAGTATTTCAGGCTATGTAATGTATTGTAAGCTGAAGTTGTTTTGTATCACCTCGCTAACCACCAAACAAATCAGCGCTCAGGATTTTCTCCAATAGCAACACAACACAGACTCAACCAGAGTCAGGTATCGGTCAACACGTGCACAGAGCTGATTGACTCAGTGAAGTTGCATGATGACTCTGTGTTGTCTTGTCCTCACGCTGTTGCATCATCTGGTATTAAACAAAAAGATGCAACACAAACCAAAGATTACTGATCTACCTCGGAGCTCCCTGTGGTGAGGAAGAGTTTCCTCTGAGCCACAGCTGAGGCCGCGGCGTCCACAGAGGAGGAATGACTGGACGACAGATTCTGGGGAGAAAAACATAGAAGAGAGAGAAATTTGGATATAATATAGATATATAATATATATAGTCAGGGAGGAATCATGAGTAAAGCATGATGAAAGGAAGACAGGATGCAGAGGCTGATTTCAGAAAAGAGAGACCAGAGACAGAGAAAAGGCGCCATTTTGAACAGATTTAATATCAATTGAAACATATTTTAAGGTGAGAAAAGTTACCTGCTTCACATTCTGATAGAAGAAAATCAGCTTCTTGGATCCGTTCGCAGCAAAGAAATCATGGACGAGACTGAACTGGGAGAATCAGACATGAATGACCCAGAGATCAAACAGAGTGTTTCTAGTTTCAGAGACTGTGATGCTACCTTGTCATCAGAGGTGAGGGCGTCCTCCACCTCCGCCTCCCCCAGCCTCGCGGCGTCTGCCAACCTGCTGATCAAGTACTTGTGTCGGGCGTCCAGCTTCCCTCGTCTCTCCTCCTTCATGGCTCTCGCCTGCTTCGCTATCTCTCTCCTCGCCTCATTGGACAGCAGCACCGTCCTTTTACCTGACACCTGGACACGACCTATAGTCACTAAAGACACCGTACGGAGGAGCGTCCCGAGGGTTGTACTCCTGATCCCGGAGCTGTGGAAGTCTGCAACTGTCCGCCATCTTTGTCACTGCAGAGTCACTTGTTTCCAGAACCAAGTGATTCACTATCATCACCTCTTCAGCTGATGGATAAACCTGTTATCAAACTGTTTCATTTCCACAACCAGCAACGTTTTCATGTAGTTGTTTATTAAGGTTTTTGTTTTTTTATATTTATATATTTGAACATTTTTACCAGCGTGAACATTTGAGATTATTTATTACATCCCTGTGATGAACGCTGATTGGAGGGGCCCTGAACAGACTCTGGCGTCACCACTGATCATCACCTCTCAACTCGCGTTCTTCCTCACTCACACTTTCTACTCTTGAGCGTTCACACGCAGTGCGCTAGAAAGTACCCGGATGGACACTTCTCATCCTCAACGGTCGCCATCTTGGCTACAAAGCGGAAGGGGAGGAGGGACCAGCAAGGAATTATTAAACTTGTGAAAACGGTGACTGAGGACGGAGGAGACGACGTCGGTCCGATGAACTGACCCAGTCGTTCTGTCTGCCCCCATGTGGCTGTTAGGAGTCATGACAATATCTACAGATGTCTTTGTTTTTACATTTATCTTCACTGAGTTTATTCTTTTTTTAAATTGAATTGTTCTAAATATAAAATGCCTGAACTGTAGCGCCCCCTGTGTCCGGCTGCTGTTACTGTTCACTCACTGAGGTGCGAGCAGTCGGGGAGGGAGCGGCCGCCGGTGAAGACACGTGGTTGACGGCTCTCAGGTTCTGACCTCCTATTCGCCGGCGTCCTCTGCCAATCACATCTGAGAGTTGGAGGAATAAACAGTGGAAGTGTATAAACAAACAAACAGAGGAAAAAGAGAAATATCTAAATTAGAGCCTGATCACATGGTCACAGCACTGGGAGCAGTAGCACTAGTTTTCATGAAGGCTCAGCTCACAGGTTCAGGTGTCTGCACCTCTGCAGAGGTGAAGCTGAGGAGGTCTGACTTGGGTAACGGCTCCTCCTTCCTCCTCCTCTTCCTCTCCCCCAGGGCCGTCCCGGTTCTCCATCCCGGGATCGAGGCTCGGTTCCGGGGCCTGGAGCTCGGTGTCCGGGGGAGGAGCAGAGCCGTTCAGCCCAGGATCACAGCTGCCAGCTGGGGGAGCAGTGGACAGCTGGTCCCTCTCTGAGACCTCAGCTGGAGACTGAGAGTCTGGATCTGCCATCTGAGAGTTAAGACTATTTCAGCATGTGATGACATGACTCACCATCTTTCCAAACTAACACTAAGACATCAGAAACTTCAGACAGAAACTGTGACTATAAAACCTCGTGGTGAACAACCTGAGCTGCCTGAGTGCCTCTGAGCCACAGAGTCACCTGCTGCAGAGCGAGGCAGCAGGAGGAGAGGAGTGGTGACTGACCTGTGTGTCGTCCTTCCTGCCGAACACTCAGAGCCTGAGGACGAGTCCCTGCTGCTCAGGAAAAACTCCACCAATAAATAAATGAACCGACGAGTCAGAGTCAGAGGAAGAGCGAGGCGCTGAGACAATGACAGACAGAGAGAGAGGGATCAGGAAGTAAATCAAAACTGGCTCTGCAGAGGAAAAGTTTGACTGTTGCCATGGTAACCCTAGCAGGCAACTAAACACACAACAAAGCTGCCTCCTGCCACCAGGAGAGACGGTGTGTGTGTTGACCAACGCAGCCGGTTCTCCTGCTTCATTTACACATCATACATTCACTTTGACACTGACTCTGAATCAGTTTAAACCAGAGTTTGGATTACCCTGTGCTGGGGGGTGGGGCTTCTGCACGGGAAGTAAACTTGTGGACAGTTATATGAGGACAATTATTGATCGGTCTAGCTCTAATTATTGATTGGTCTGACCAACCTGTGAGCATCGAGGTTCTACTTTATGAAGAGGCTGTAAAGCTCACTGCTCAGCTGCCTGTCACTTATTGGTTAGGATGCTTTTGTAAATGAGTCAAGGTGCTGACCCTTGACCCCTGTGAAGTCAGAGAGGTCAGAGGTTTCATTTGAGTAAAACCTGAGTAAAAGTCTCTGTCTATTTTATTTAAAACGCATGTAATCCATCATCAGCCTTGACTAGAACTTGAACTTTTCTGAGTCTAATGAGGCTGACGAATGGAAGTTTTACAGAAACAGTTTCTGGCCGAGGCCTGGAGGCGTTCAGCGGTCGCTTCCTCTAATACGGGATAACTGCAAACTTCCAATAATGGAAGCTGCCGGGCCTGAAGACCATCAGTCCAATAAGCACATCAAGAGAGTTCATGTGTTTACTGCACTGAGCTGAGACTGCAGATGCAGCGGAGAGAATCTCAGTCCTGGGAGAATCCAGCAGCTGAAATGTGAATGTTGAGTTCAGTCAAAGGAAATCCAGAGAGGACATGTAAAATAATGACTTTATTTATTATTATTATTTATTAAAGAAACTTGGAACTTCCACTGTGATGTAATATCAGTGTTCTGTACATATATGAAAAACAAACACACTTAAGCTAATTGGATTCCTCTTCACGTGCAGTCTGTCTGATTAAAGGAAGGCAGCTGCAAAACTGCATCGATCCACAAGATGGAGCTACAACACAAACATTAACTGATAACCTGCAGGTTTCAGCACAGACTGATGGTCACATGTTTCAAAGCATCAAGACAAAGTGAAATATTAAATACAAAAACTGTTGAAGATTTTTAGAAGTNCCTCTAATACGGGATTACTGCAAACTTCCAATAATGGAAGCTGCCGGGCCTGAAGACCATCAGTCCAATAAGCACATCAAGAGAGTTCATGTGTTTACTGCACTGAGCTGAGACTGCAGATGCAGCGGAGAGAATCTCAGTCCTGGGAGAATCCAGCAGCTGAAATGTGAATGTTGAGTTCAGTCAAAGGAAATCCAGAGAGGACATGTAAAATAATGACTTTATTTATTATTATTATTTATTAAAGAAACTTGGAACTTCCACTGTGATGTAATATCAGTGTTCTGTACATATATGAAAAACAAACACACTTAAACTAATTGGATTCCTCTTCACGTGCAGTCTGTCTGATTAAAGGAAGGCAGCTGCAAAACTGCATCGATCCACAAGATGGAGCTACAACACAAACATGAACTGATAACCTGCAGGTTTCAGCACAGACTGATGGTCACATGTTTCAAAGCATCAAGACAAAATGGGTCAAAATGAGTCAAATTGCTTAGTCTTGTTGTCAATATAACAGTGTGACTCTGGAGGGATGTTCTGATGTAAACTATGGCTAAAGTTTTAATGACACTTATTGTAAATTGTAAGTTACACCTTAGTGTATTGATTGCAAGAGACTGGACAAGATTCACATTTACACTTTTACTGTTTGTACTGTAATTTGTTGACAGACCATGTCACTGTGATACAGAAAGGCCTCTTATGCCTCTTCCTCTGTTTTGCCTCCCAACTCCTCCTCCACACAGCCTCACTCCTCTTCCTCTTCTTCTTCTCTCTGGCTGTTGACCCCGTCCAATTCCTTGTCCTTCCATTGTCAGACATTGTAACATTGTGTTGTGCTCCGGCTATATATATATATATATATATATATACTTGCCAGTTGATAGAGAAAGTCAAGATTCACCTGGGAGGAATTTACCAATTCAGGACAAATTTAGAAAATAAAAGTCTAATGGAAATGTATAGAGATATGCTTGACATATTATGACAACTTGTTCAACCATTTTGCATGTAAAGACTTATGGGATGAACTAATGCCTAAATGTTGTGGGGGGTGAGACTATTCAACAGAGACCCATTATAATACATTTTGATCAACATGACATAAGCAATTGATAATGTAGGAAACAGCAGAGAATTGTACATAATCATTTGCATGGATGTACCAAAGCATTTGTAACTTGTTCAAAGAAATGAGAAACTGCTTTTTTGATTTGCACAAGTGACACAATGATGTGAAGATCGAACAAGTAGTTTTGAGAATTTCAATTCTGATCTGAGAAACGAACCAAAGCGACTGAGAAAAACTGTTGAAGTCTTCCCAAACCAGCCTCGACTGGAGGTGATCCAGAAGAAGAAGCAGAACTGAAACCTCCTGAGACTGAGACTCTGGTGCAGGTGGAAGGTGGAGGAGTCACAGGGATGATGGTGGAGCTGTTCTCAGATCAGTTCAGACTGCAGCACTGAGAGTCATCTCCACTTCTTCTGATTCCTCCGTCAGATCTTTAGGACGATCACCACTTCCATCTGTGGAGAGAAGAACAGAGGAGATAAACGAGTGTTTCCAGAGACTCACTTCAGCAGCTGTCAGTCAGTGATGCAGCAGGGACTTCAGTCCTGTTCAGTCCAGATGTGCAGCAGCTGTGTAGCGTAGCCTGCTTCCTCTCAGCTCTCATGTTAACGTGTTGGAGTGAACACTGAGCTGGAGGCTCACAGACCTGCAGAGACTTTTAGCATCAAGTCTGTTCACTCTGCACATTTCCCTCAGTCCACAGTGGAAACAAACTGCTGAGAGTCATGAAGGTTCATCACTGCTCCAACAGGTCAGTGATGGATTCACTGTCCTGACATTTAAACAGAGTCTCTGTGTGTTGATGAACATCTGGTCTGTTCCTCACACATCACCTGACAGAGAATCATGGAGGCTGTCACTGAAAACATCTGGCAGAAGGACAGATATACAGATGTGCTCACTGGACTTCAGCAGAGCTTCTGTCTGTATAAAGATCACATGATCACAAAACGTCACGATGCTTCTCTTAAAAGAAGAGTCAGCTCCATCAGACTGATCTCAGCTGTGACAGAGATCAAACTGATCAGGTCTTGAGTTGTGAAATGAGAGAACAAACTGTCTCAGATCAGATGTGACAGTTTGATGAATGAGGACACTGTCTCTGTTCCTCTGTGAGGCTGTCAGCTGTAATCAGCTTCACTTCCTGTAGACATCAACTCAACAACAACAGTCGTCTTCACATCCACTCAGACGCACGACCACGACGAGCTTCTGGCCGCTCTGATTGGCCGACTGTTCTCTCTCTCTGTCTCTCTGTCCAATCCTGACGCCTGTCACCTGTCACCGTTCTCCTCTCACAGCTTCACTGAGGGAAGCAGCTGCTGAGAAGGTCGGAGGTTTACAGGAAACACTGGCTCTTTGCTCCGACACTGTGTTTAGTACAATATGATGGAAGCAGCAAGGACTGACTCCGCCCCTTTTACTGACCTCAGAGTCTCCAGTCGACAGTCTGGACTCTCCTCAAGATCACACAGCTGCTTCACATCTGGATACTTCAGGTAGTTCTGACTCAGGTCCAGGTGTCTCAGGTGGGAGGGGTTGGACTTTAGAGCTGAAGCCAGAGAAGAACAGCTGATCTCTGACAAACTGCAGTATCTCAACCTGAATAAAGAATAAAAGATGAGAGTTTAGAGACAAAGGTGAAGATCTCTCTCCCTCTCTCTCTTTCTCCCCCTCTCTCTCTCTCTCCCCCCCTCCCACTCTCTTTCTCCCCCACTCCCTCCCTCACCCCTCTCTCACCCCCTCTCCCTCCCTCCCACTCTTTCTGCCTCTCACTCCTTCTCTCCCTCCCC